AAAAAAAAAAAAAAAAAGAAGACAAAAAACTGAAGCATTTTTTTTTCATTTTAAATGAGGAAAAAGATGAAATGCAATAAACAATTACCAGAAATAATAAACACCTACATTGTTTTCATTCTTTGTCTTTAAGTCTTGGAAGATCTGACAAGTTCTTGGACTAGCCATGATCTTAGTTTCCTTCTCAATTCTTTCTTATAACATTTTACTTCCTATAATATATCAACATATACATAAAACTGTTAACTATAAGGAATCAATGGAAAACTAAAATTACAAAACAAATAAATGCAATCAATAATCAGTTTTTGCTGATCTGAGGATATATATCACATAGAAAACATACTGCAAAAATTCGTAGGCTTTTTTGGAATTTCCATCATCAGGAACCTGACTGAAAGTTCCGTAAAAGTTTAAATAATATTCCTCATTAATGATATGAAAACGATTTTTAATGTGAGACTTTACAATTTCACAGAAGGCAAAGGTATAGATAAAATATAATAGGAGAGAAAAATTAAATATGGAAACTAAAAAGTTATGTAATTGAAAAAAACTTTGAAACACAATTCATCACTATCTATATCTATCTATCTATCTATCTAGCTCGATCTCCCACCAACCCAAACAGCTCCCCAAACCATCACGCTGAAACCACCATGCTTGACAGTTGGCTGCAATCTGTTGAGCCAAAACTCTTGGTGAGGCATTCTCCAGACCCATATCCTTCCACTGTCCAAAAATTGAGCGAATCTTGATTCATCTGAGAACAATACGGTCTTCCAAAAGACCAGAGGCTTGGTCATCATTCTCCTTTTAAGAATCCCAGGGACATTACCTTGGTGTTCTTATTCACAAGCAAACAAACTGATCACTTAAAACTTTTATTTAAAAAATGTTGACTCTATATTTCAGAAAATACATCACTTAAAATAAAGTTATTTTTAAAAATAAAATTGATACGTTAGTGGCAACTTTTTGCCGCCTCAGAATAGGCTTGAGAATTAAACTTGGTCTAGTTAATTGATTCTGAAAGGGTAAATGTAAAATGCACAACAAATGTAAGAGTCGTTCATTCCATACAACTACAACTACAGGAGAAAATAAGAAATTCCACTACAGTCTACACTACAACAGACAGAATACAACATTACAAGTTTTCTTGGTATAAATATTGCATGATGGTACCAAAAATAATTACAATACATAACACAAAATAATGCTATGTAACCTTAAGGGTTCACAAAAGTATGAGACCAACTAACCGACACCATATAATTATAAATAAAATGTATTATAATACAACAAGACTGGATATAATATAATTATAAGGCCATTATCTAATTAAGTGTCTTATAGTTATACGTACATAAAGAAAATTTGATTCGTTTACGGAAAAACGTTTTACTTCTCTAAACTGGTGAGCCTAACGCTGATCGAATAACTCACAATTTCACTTTCAGGTTAAATAATATTACTTTCTCAGTTAAAAAAAATACAACAAAAAGTCGATAGGATTATGGTAGGGAAGTTACATAAGATTAGAAATTAAAATTAAAAATAACATTAATACCGAGTGTCTTATACTTTAATTTTAAACAAGTTAGCGTTACATTTACGTCGATCATATAATGATTTAAGCTAAATGTAAGATGTACTTTACGCTTTGGTAAAATATAATTAATTCCTAACCCACTTGACGTCTTAGAAACAGTAAATATTGGCACTATAGAAACTAAAGCTCACGTGCCAGTGGTCGTGTTTCTATACCCTAGCGCCGAAACTCTTGGGCAAATTATATTACAAATTTTCCCTCTGACCACAAAACACAAACCGTAAATGGATAAAAAATAGTTACTTAAGCTTACGTTTAAACTTCAATTCAAAATAAAATATAAGGTAGTGTTCCGTTAAGTATTATTTAACTTCCTTTTCAATTGCAATTTCAAAAAAAATATATATATTAATAGTAAATTTTCATGTTTTAAAATAGAACAATGTTGATCGCAACTACTAAGTTATACAGAGATTGAATATGTTGTATTAAAACTATTTTGGAGGCTCGCCACGTCGTTACAGTCTATATCAGTACATCCAGTCATGCTCCTCTGACGACCCTACATGATGAAAATAGCTCTGCATTGTAGTTTGTATTGTAAAAAGCTCCGAGGTAAGGTTGTTATATCCAAGATACGCACTTCCCTCCCTATGATTTTTCCATAACCTATCGTAATTTCCATTAAAACATAGGTGAGACCGTAACTTCTAGATAACACCTGAATGACCACTGAAGAACAGTGCTGTCGACCACCTTCTCCAATGTGTAGTATTGCAGCAATATCCATCCCAGGAGAAATAGGCATTTTCTATTAGAGAACAATAAAGGAACAGAGAGAACCAGAAAGAAACCAACTTAAAGCTTCCTTGACCACGTTTTAGGTGATATTTGCACATATACAGAACAAAGAATAAGTTTAGAATAAATATTATAATATTACAATAAGAAAGAAATGCACGATGTATTCATATACCACAGAAGTATGCAATGATTGAGTGGGAATTATGATTGGAAGCCTAATTTAGGTAAACTCATACCCTTCTGACCTCGTTTCTAGAAGGAGATCTCTTCTTATTATGTTGCGTACTGTTGCCTGAGGCATATTGACGACTTTTGCCATTGACCTTTTTGTTAATGGAATCTCATTTGTATGACGGCTGGGGTATGATTTATTGCAGGTCTCTTTTTGGATGGTACTGGTACCTCAAGCTGATACAATTCCTTTGTTTTTCCAATGCCAGTAAGTAAAAGGGACATCAACATCTTGGAAATTCTTCATCCCCAACCTGAACAATAATTATCTTTATTATCCCAGTTTATGAACAATTCGGATCGGAAGGGGCTCTTATATTTCTTTCCCAAAAGCGATCAATTTTCAGCTGCATCACACTACCTACGAACCGCCAAACAATGTTAAAATGTAGTTCTGATATATTCAGTTCAACCGCGATTTTAATTCGTCTATAGTTGTCATTGTCACGTGACTTGCTGATTTGCATATTCAAAACCGTTTTAATACAACGTGCTCAACTCGTGATTCAAAAAGCTATTAATTATGTAATTATAAGTCATTTGGCACGAAACGGATAGTGGAGAATCAGAATGGTAATGGAAGTTTACCTGTTCAAATTTATAAGAGATCGTGTCTTTTAGAAATAACTGAAGTCCTTAGCTCGCCATATTTTGATACTTTATTTAATCTTTAAGTGCGATTTTAAGCTGAATAGAAGTACACATATCAAACTATACCGAGAAGCAGAACTCTGTACGGGGCCAGAACTTCTCGCTATAAGATAATTCACATTGTTATAAAATAAGTTTATGTGTCTTCAATGAAGAAGGAGTTACACTTCTAACTAGTCTAAACATTTTATTGGTTCGTGTAGTTTATTTTTCTTTATACTCAGTATAAAAATGCATTTCAAATAAATACAATTTTTGAATTAGCAAAGTCATAAATATAATTTCTTGTTTAATTTATATTTTGTCTCAGGCAAAATAAGATGTATGAAATATAGATAGACTAATGAGATAAGTAGATAAATTAACCATAAATTTAATGTTCAAGACTATCTAGGTACCGCTAGCGTCGTGAGTTGACACAATCTGCAAGATTTGTATAGCTTAGGTCCTACGTTGAAAATCGGAAAGAGGTAATATTTATTTTTAAAGTTTGTAGAGATTTGGGGTATGTGATAACGAATGATGCAAGAACTTATCTGATGTCAGAATTAGTCGAAATAAATACGTCACTCGGAAATCTCATGTTCTAGAATAATTATAAGAAATTTTAGCAACAATTATTATTTAAGAGTATAAATGATTTATGATAACAAATAGTATACTGGTTGGTAACGTTTATAATTATTAAATAAAAAAGTAGCTGTGCCTACTCAACCTGAACTGAGTGAACTTGTGTCGTGAAGCTAGTTTTAAGTATTTGATATTAATTCTGATAGTAGTGTTCGTTCGATAATGCCGTTTTTAATCATCATTTAATGGCATAATTTTTTGCATTACTATTCTATTAAACTCAGAATCTAAAGGCGTTTTACTTTTAAGGTTTACTTTTAGCATTAAGTGATTAACTTATCACCCCTGCTATTGAACTTTCAAATTCTTAACTCTTACTAAGACTAAGAGTCATATTAACAATCATTTTAAAAATAAAACAAAGTAATGTAATATTTTGTAGAAATATTTTAGAGGTTATACATATATATATATATATATATATTTGTTGCTTCATACTTGTTGCTATCAGTATAATGTTTAAATATTCAGCTATAGTATGTGATGATCTTTGGCCTTGCCACAAGAACTTGAAGAAGAAACATTGAAACAGCTGTTTAACATAAAAGTAATGAAAGTCAGCTTATATTTATTAACATCAGTACACAAATTAGAATATGTTGAATCATAAAAATTATATTAAAAAACTGAACATTTACAAGTGTTATAATATATTAATAATGTCTTTGGAATGTGTTAACCTTGTTAGTGTATTAGGCCTACACTACAGGTGGAAGTGGCTTTAATACATGTTAAAAAAGAAATTAATTTATCATTGTTACATGGATCTCATTTTTACCAAATAATTTTAAACAGTCTACACAGTGATAGAACATGTAAAAACAATGTTCAGAAAAAAAAAATCTTATAAATACTGACAATAATTTGTTTTATAATATATTGTATGATGCCTGGAGAGACAGTGGTAAGTCTATGGACGTACAACACTAAAATTTGGGGTTTGGTTCCCCATAGTGAACACAGCAGATAGCCCAATGTGGCTTTACTTTAAAACAAACATATATTTTTTATGTTTTAGTACTAAGTATGGTAAGGAAATAGATATAATGCAGATACATGTTTGCTTTACACATAATATAGACAGAACAAGTGTTTGAAATATTACTCAAACCTCGAGTATAATAAAAACTGTCTAACCTCATATAACATCTAAAGCAGTTTTTGGTATTTACTGAAGAATGAAATAAACTGGTTTTCATTTTCACTTGCATTGATAGATAATAATTCTCAAAGGTATTTTTTAACATTAAATTTTTATTAGTATTAATTGCATATGAAATGACAACACAATGTTTGTTGCTAAGAAGTAAAACTTAATGATTTAACATGTTGATTTTTTTTTTTTTTCAGATAACCTGTATACAAAAGTTTTATGAAGGGGTGATGTAGGGGAGTTTTAGAAAAATGACTGTTGCCCCTTTAGTGGTAGAAATCGGCTTCATATTTTTGCTAGCTGCGTATTTGCTTCATAAATATGGTAACTGGACAACTCATCATGTTTTGGTCACTATTGCTGTTTTTGTTGCTTGGTATTTCTCTTTCACTGTGATTTTTATTTTGCCTCTAGATGTATCCACAGTAAGTATTCATATCTAAAGTTTTTTGATCCAGTAAATCTAATATAACTTAAATATAAAGAAGTTTAAAGCAACAATAATATATATTACACATATGTGATTTTTTTTTTTAATGAGAAGCATTGTGCTATTGTTGTAAAGAATGTCTAATTTTCGTTTCTTTTAATTCGACCTTACAAGAACAAGGTTGGTCGATTTAACGAACTTGTAACTGTAAAACTACACATACTGTCACTCTGAGTTTACTAGGTGTATCTTCACAAAATTTAGCAAGCTTTTGGTAACTATTAAACATTTGTTGTATACAAAGTTTTTAATATAGAATATCTATCAAATGTATGTAAATTTTCAAAACCTTTACTGAGTGAAACGTGATTTTCATGCTGAGAATAAAAATACTTCTTTTCATCTTAAAGTTTCATACTTGCACAACTCTAAAATCTCCTAAATCAGTATAAAAACATGTTTCAATAAAACTGCATTTTGTCTCTTACACTGCCAAAAATGTGTTTCTTAAAAGTAGGTGCCCCCCCAGTGGCCCAGCGGTAAGTAGGAAAAAAAGTAAACTTTCCAGAATTTTCCACCCTTCCTCTCCCTTTCCACTGTGTTTATTTTACCTTATCAAAGAATAAGCCTTTCTTGATACACTGGTGCTTATGGGGTTTGCTGCATTTGTTGGATGTTAGTAAATGGCTGTAGGCTAATTATGATCACATCATAAGCGGGTGCAGTGCACATTAATACATGTAAGGATAAGAGTTTAATTCAATGCTCACAGCGTGCGTAAATTTCTTCAAGGCAGTGTTGTGAAGTAATAGCTTTTAATTCTGTATAGAGGTGAGTATTTCACTCAAATAAATTATCAGGTTAGAAAAATGTTAACTACTTTCACTGTTAAACTTTTCATTCTGTTTGGATTTTTTACCCATTGGAGCAGTAAGGCATAGTAGGAGACCATTATCTGTTGGTCATAGAGCTAATATAAACTGCACATGGTGTAAGTACTGTGTTTCACAGTGCGCTTTAGCTTGTGAAATTTTACACCATTTGTTTTACCAAAGTTTTGTTAGGCTAAGCTGAGAATTTTACAATCTAAATATTTTAGTTACTTTTGTTTAAAAATATTTAACAATAAATAATAAGTACACATAAAAGAAATAATGATATGTAGTACTCGCTACATAATCAAGTTATTCGCACTCAAGTAAAAATATTAAATGTTCTTCCCTAAGCCTTGTTGAGTCTTGGAAGTTTAAGTATCCAAAGAAATATTAATGTAGCTTTCAAATATGCATTTTAGAACCAAAAAATATATATATATATCTGTCACTATAATTTACCTAAGTTTCTAAGTAAGCCATAAATTGGTGAAAACATTTCCGTTACTATTCGTAGCAGCAAATCTGATCAACACAAACCAAGCAATTCTCTTTGAATAATGGCTTACGGTGCCAAAACTGAAGAAACTTGTAGGATTTAAGTAGAGGAGAATCAGCTCTATTTTATTGGTTAAAAGCATGTCCAACAGCCATGTAAAGTTGATTAGCAGACACTGTCATAAGTCAAAAAGAGATGGACTTCTGTGGTTGGTTTGAAAAATGTAGTGATAATATTTCAGTAAATCAAGAAGGTAGTGGGTATAAACTTTAGGTTTTTACTTTTAATTATGTATAGTTTGTTTCTGATTAACTGGAAACTGCAACAGCCTATTTTAAAAGTTGTAAAAGTCTGAAATGGAGGAATCGGAATAAAGTTGAGATTTTTTTAAAATATTTCTTTTTGAAATAAAGAAGTTAAAACTTTGATAATATCAAAATGTCAATTATAAACTACATTTTCATACCAAATTAATTTCCATAGATTGATAATAAAGTTGTTTAAATTTTGAAGGTTATGATGTAAAAGTTATGATCCAAACGAAAGGTCATAGCAAAAAAAGAGTTAAACTTAAATATGGGCCCAATTATAAGAAATTTGGTTTGTTTACAAAGTTGTAAGACAGGAAAATAGAAATGTATGCATAGTAATGAACTGTATTTAAAAAAAAAAAACTCTTGTTCTGCACTTGCGTACTGTTAATGAATGATACTCATGTATGTGTGAATTCAATCTTTCAGACTTCTTATAGACAGTGTTTGCGAGACCAGGTTTCAACCATAACAACCAATTCTTCTGCTGCTCTACCACTTGTTACTGGTGCCACAGAAACGGGAAACTCCACAATTTTACCCTTACTGAATGTCAGTATTACGGAGACAGCACTTCACCATGTATTTGAGATAGCCCCGGGTAGGTTGAAAGGTTTTTGTTCACTGTGAGCAAACTTTCAAATTATAAACTTTCAGATTATTATTATTATTTCCAGCTTGTCCTGAGATGTGTAAATGGAACCCGTTACTGTGTCACATAATTCTTTTATAATTTATGGGACGTTAAGCAACCTTTTGATCCATCAAAGATCTTTTAACTTTCAGTTTCCCCCGAGATATGGAAAACTTATCACTGATTCCCCAAATATTCAACATCTGTTCTTGTGAAACTCCTGTAAGATATAGCTTCTACCATTACAAATGTCAATTTTTTTTTCTTCAGATTTACCACCCTTTTGATCAAGCAAAACTACCTTGAGTCCCTAATGTATAGATGTAATAGTTCTAACTGTAGAAAACACTGTATACGCACTGCAGCAACTAGCGTATTCTTGATTTTACATTTTATGGAAATGAATATTTAGAACGATGCAGATTGTCATGCGATGTTTTCAGGATTGCAATATTTTTTACATTTGTGGTAACAATCATTCTTGAATCTGTTACATTACCAACAGTTTCGGTTTTGTTAAAAGATCGGTTACTTTCCTTACCAGTTGGACTTATGGCCAAGTACAACAGTTTTAACTAAGTTAAATAGTGCTTTCTGCTATCTACAAATGTTGTAAAGATCAACAGCTTTATAAGTAACAAAGAACAGACACAAATTTACCCCGACTAGTTTTGATATACCACATAAAACCTTCAAAATGGCACATGTGGTACATCGAAAGTAGATGGGGTAATAATCTTCATATTTTTGTAAATTTGTGTTTGTTCTTCGTTACTTAATTTTTGTTTACAAAGCTGTTGACTTTTACAACAACGGTTTTGTACTGAAGAAGAATTGTCCCAGTGTGAAATATAAAGTTTTATATAATCTGATAATATATTATAACATACGCAGATGTATAACTGATAAGTGTAGATAAATATTTACAATATATACACACACACACTGTAGCAGCAAACATACTTCAATTTACCATTTTGTGAGAAAAACTTCGATAGTTCACGTAGGTACTACTTTACAAATTTTTATCTATTAAATACCAGAATTCTAATCTATCTCCATGGTTACTTGGGGAAAATGTATTTTTTTGTGTTTGTAAATATATACCTATTAACAAAGATATTATAAAATCTCAGCTGCTTTAAATAAACAACTCGTAGTTGGCATAAAGTGTAAGCTTGTAGTTTTTATAAATTGTTAATCAAGCACTTCCAGCAGTATAGATAAACAGAGATGTCAGAAGGCCTTAAAAATAACTTCAGTTTGTACTCGGATGGGATGACCTTGCTTGACGAACTTGTATCCTATTGAAAGTCGTAAGTCACATAAAATTGTATCTCTAGCGTGGTTATTCTACAATATATCACAGGGTATATATGATTTGCTGGCGATGTGTTGACTTTACACAAGTGTTTCTCAGGTAAGTCTCTAAACTGTTCTTATAAGATCATGCTTAGAGTGCTAAGGCATTGTTGGTTGTAGTGTCAATTGTATTTAACCCTTTCACTGTGGCTGGGACGTAGATTTCCCACTGCACTGGAAAATGTACATCCCTGTTGCAGTGAATGGGTTGACAGTCATATTTTAATAGCTTGACTTTCATATTATGATATGCAGGATGAAACCACTTGTGATTGTGTCTGGAGACTGCTTGGGAAATTTAAATTATAGCTTAATATAGATATCATCTAAAAATGTAGTTCACTAGAAATTATATGAAGAACTGTGAAATAATTATTAAAATTCAAGAAAGTATTCTGGATATTTCGTCTACTGAAAGTGTGCAAACCATCTAAAGATTATGGTAAATAATTGTTATATTTTTGGTAAATAATTGTTGTATTTTTGGTAAATAATTGTTGTATTTTTGGTAAATAATTGTTGTATTTTTGGTAAATAATTGTTGTATTTTTGGTAAATAATTGTTGTATTTTTGGTAAATAATTGTTGTATTTTTAAAATGAAGAGT